CAATTTTACTTAACACTTTGTTGCACTAATTGTAATTAAAGAATATTAATTGTTTGAACTTTCTTATTTTTTTCTTACTTTTGTAAAAGTAAATATAGATAGTAAAGATTAGTTGAAAGTTGAATATTTTTATAATAAAATTAGGACATAAAAAATGATATTTTCATTGGTCAACGAAGTAATCTACTACCTACATCTAAGCATTAAGTTTTCTTTTTCTCAGAAAAGAAAATATTTTGTTTAGTTTTTTCATTTGTATAGCAGGCGTTAGGCCTCACTACAATATTACATAGAAGTCCAAACAAGGAATATTTAAGGAAAATTTCACATAAGAACAATTGAGCTTCCTACTTTTTAATTTTATAGCCCATATTTTAATTTACAACTAACTAGCCCAAAAATTATAGGATAATACTCAATATTCAACTCCAATAGATTCGAAATTACTATTTAATTTTTAAAAAAAATTGCTCAAGCTTTTAAGTTAATTTTTGAATCAGTAACTGTGACTCAAATATTAGTTCAACAAACCAAATCCATTTGGGTGGTGAAAATTAGATTTTTATACAAGCTTAAATATGTGGGTTTAAATTTCGAATTTGATTTTGTGAGAATTTTAGAGTGGGTGTTATTTAGACTTGTTAGAAATAGTATAAGGAGGTTGTATATGAAATTTGAAGTTATTTAATGGAGATTTGGACTGGTTTTGAACAAGAATTGTAACTGAAAATCGTGAAAGAAGTTCGTCTACAGACGCTTGTATAAAGGTGTATAAAAGTGTATAAGATGTGTTTATACACTCATATACACTATTATACAAGATTATACATAATTATACAAAAAATTGACTTCGTCTTCTACCTTGCGTCTTTTCTGAAATTTAACTCAAATCTTGCTCAAATCTACTCCAAATCACTTCAAATTTAAATATTGAACTCCTTTTGATATTTTCAATCAACTGGAACAAAACCCAATCCAAACAACTAACAAACTCAAAAAATCATATTTTCGAAAGCAAAGCTTTGAATGGTCTTCAATGGTGGACTTCTACTCTTCAATTTTTTGACATTGCAAACAGGGGGAGAAGCAGAAAATACACGGCCCCTTGAAGCATATGTAAGATGTGAGAAGAAGAGAGAGTGAAAGCAATAGTTGTGAGAATACACATTTAACTCCATAGTTTTTAGAAGCAATGGTTGTAAGAATACAGATTTTGAATTTGCTAATGCTTTCAAAATATGTATAATATGGCTAGGTAGGGTAAAACTTAAAAACATGGTCATTTTTTGTTATGGTGTGAAGTCATGTGTATTTTCTTGTAATTCTTTCAATATTTGATGTGAAATTTTTTAGTTGATTTGAAACACCTAAATATTAAAAAATAATGCACAAAATTAGTTGATTTAGAACTCCTAAATATTAGAAAAATAATTATTTGACTAATTTTAGAGCTCCTAAATATTAGAAAAATAATTAAATGACTAATTTTAGAACTCCTAAATATTAAAAATAACTGAATGACTTATTTGTCCAGTGTGAAAGTGAAACTATTTGTTAAAGGGTAAAAAAAGACGAACGACATTTCATTGACTTTGTGCTTTTAATATAGTATAAATATAAATAAATATATAGATACAAATATAAATATCGATAACATTTTTTTTCTTTGGTATATATCGATGTGCATGTTTCTTTCAGGATTTCAAATCTGGGAGTTTAATTTAACGGAAAAGGGTCATATATGCCAGTGAACTATGCGAATTAGGACATATATGCCCGCCGTTGATAGTTTGGCACATATATGCCCAATCCGTCCAATACTTGCTCATTTATGCCCTTAGTTTAACGGAATCACTATTTTGTCATTCTTAAATAATTAATAACCGGACTCAACCAAAATCTGCTAAACCGATCCGTTAGGACCCGACCCAGCTTATTTTAAAAATATTTTTTGATATATTATATTTGTTTGATTGAGAAATTGTGTGATAATCATATTTATTTATTTGACTAATTTGATAATCAATTTTTTTTTGTTATATATCATTTCGGGAAGTAATCCTACTAAAAGTAGTAATTGATATTTATTTATTATTTTAATAATATAATATTTGAATTAGTTTGTGCTTTCTTCAATCATTTTACCATCTATTTTTAATTTTCTCGGCGGTGCTTGTTATGAAATAATATTTGATATAAAATAATTAATTAATAAAAATAGAAAAGAAGTACCATAGTTTTAACAGTGGTGCTTGTTATGAAATAATTAATTAAAAAAAATGGAAAAGAAGCACCACAGTTTTAAAAATTTATTACTTATTTCGTAACAAATTTGTAATGTAGAAAATAATACAATAAACTAATAACCAATCGTATAATGATGTAACGACCCGGCCGGTCGTTTTAAAAATTAACGTCCCGATCCCCTATTAACTGCATTCCCCGTGTTTGTTTCTACTATTGTGAGTTGCCGGGAAGATTTATTTGGAAATTCGGAGAGTTTTGGGACACTCAGTCCCTAAATGAGAGTTTAAGTTTTAGAATTTGGACCGTAGTCGGAGCAGTGTGAAGACGGCCTCGGAATGGAATTCTGATGGTTCCGTTAGCTCCGTTGGGTGATTTCGGGTTTAGGAGCGTGTTCGGATTGTGTTTTGGAGGTCCATAGCTCATTTAGGCTTAAAATGCCGAAAGTTGAATTTTTGAAGTTTCCGGTTCGATAGTGAGATTTTGATCCGAGGGTCGGAATGAAATTCCGGAAGTTGGAGATTTTGATCAGGTCATTCGGACGAGGTTTGATAAACTTTTTGATCGAAAGCGTAATTCGGAAGATTTTGGGATTCTTAGGCTTGAATTCGATGCTAATTGGTTGATTTGATGTTGCTTGAGGTATTTTGAGGATTGATATAAGTTTGGATAGTGGTATATGACTTGTCTGTGCTTTTGGTTGAGGTCCCGGGGGCCTCGGGATGAATTCGGGTGGTTAACGGGAAGTTGGAACTTGGAGTTGGCAGCTGAAGTTCTTTGGGCTGCTGTCATAACCGCATCTGTGGTTGAGAGGCCGCAGATGCGACTTCCGCAGATGCGTAGTTAAGCCGCAGAAGCGTCCAGATGAGGAGAGGCTAGGAGCCGCAGGTGCGAAAGTGTCCACGCACCTGCGTGATCGCAGATGCGTTAAATAGGTCGCAGGTGCGGATTTTGGAACTAATGAGTTTTCGCAGGTGCGGTTGTCTTTCCGCAGAAGCGGGACCGCAGGTGCGGTCCCTTGAACGCAAAAGCGGATTTGCTGGGCAGAAAAATAGGATTTCGAGGGTTTAGTTTCAAAAGTTAGAAAAATTAATTTGGAGCTCGGGAGAGGGCGATTCTGTGAGATTTTTGAAGAGAAGATCATTGGGTAACAATTCCTTATCCCTTTCTAGTTGTACTAGATATGGGCCACCCGTGCCGAGCACGGGCCCAACATGTGATCCAATGTGTTTTTTGACATTCCGTTTCGAAGCAATGAAATCGAAAAGGATACATTTGAGCTATTAGTTTCACATGCTATAGATAAATTGACGAATTTTATTGGCTAATGCGATCTAAACCAGATTTATAGGTATTTTGTGAAGATAATTGAATACCACTTCCCACTAATTTGGTTATGTATTAAATGGATCAAAAATTGACAATAGAAACTTCACCTAAAAGACGCTTTTAGGAAAACACCTAAAAATTTTGCTCATAATTTTCTGGAAAAAAAAACATGGACCACATGAATATACCATCCACTAAAAAACGAATTGCGTTAGGTGCATAGGAAAATGAAAATTACACCTGAACAAAATTTCTGCAACCCCTCATGTTTAAAAAAAAAAAATTTCGGTGCTAGAAAGTAGAACTACGATTTTAATGATACAGACCTAGGATTCTAGCCAAACGCAACCTAATTTTCACTCCAACGACAATTGTTAAAGATAGTGCTTAGAGGTTGGTGAAAGAGTAATTATATTGTGGCGCATATATTCCCTATTAGAGCTTTATTACAGTGATACCCATGCTCAAGCAATAATTCAATTTAGATGAAGATGAAAGTCTTTGGAACTTCATCATCTAAAATGATTCAAAATTCAATTCTAGCTTTGCGTGTGTTTTTTGAACTTCATTTGCGTCTTACAGAAAAACTGGAAAGTAGGTGTATTCTTTTTTACTACACGCTTGACATCTCCGAAAATTCTTTGATACTGTTCTGAAAAATGTAGTGCCGCAGTCCTCCCTGGGGCCTAGATGCATGTGTTTCAAAGTCTACCCGACACAAAATAGACGCAGAGATATCCAAGTGATATCTTTCTAGGTTATCACATTACTCTTCCTACTTCGGTCTCACAGAACATAGGGAATAATACATAAATGTGTTATTACTCCTAAAGAAATTTTTGTTCTCCACTCTGTGATCAGAGTGCTGAAACATAAAAAGAGAATAACATTAAAAAATCTAGTTCCTCTTCATTTTGTCTCCCCTAAAAGTAGAACAAAGTGGTAAAAATAGTTCATTGGATCAAGTAAAACAAAATCAGATAAATTAACTAACTACGTCGTTTATGCTTAACAAGGTGGATTGCTCTGATGGTAAGCACCCTCCACGGATGCCGAGGGTCTATTGGAAACAACCTCTCTACCCTAGGGTAGGGGTAAGGTCTGCGTACACACTACCCTCCCCAGACCCCACTTCTGAGATTATACTGGGTCGTCGTTGTTGTTGTTGTCTTTTATGCTTAACAATGGTGCTTTTTTCTCATTGCATTGTTTAAAACAAGAGTGTAAGGGAGAAACATGACCCAATAATTCAGGTGTAAATTTGTTGATGTAAGAACTTACTGGTTCAAACTTCTTGCTAACTATTGCATATAAGAGTGGGAGAAAATGGAACAAAAGATATTAAACAATTCATAAAGAGAAAAGAATTTGCATAGGAAAAAAAAACATAAGAACTGAAGAAGAAATCAAGGAACTGTATCTTAAACTTTTTCGAAATGAGGCTCTGGACTTATTAACTGTTACTTGTGAGATTCTGGACATATTAACTCTTATAAATCATAATGAGAGTCTCTTACCTTTACAAATGGAGTACGTCTATGGAAAATGTTGCATTTGAAAATTATTTAAATAGAACAGTGGACCCAAATAATGATACATCCTATTGACTATAAATTTGATATTCTTTTGAAATCTAAAGTTATTTTCCAAGAAAATCTCACCATATGGATACTGCAACTTTAGAGGGAACTCCTACGCACAGCTGGCATCAGCAAATAGGTTTTGCAACTCCAGCTTTCACAAAGATAGTCAAGCATATCATTGCAACTCCAGCTATTAAAGTATAATGAAATTTACTATTGAGTACGTAACCAAAGTATTCAATGACTTTTCTAGCTGAATAAATCAATTGACTGTTTTAAAATAAGAAAGACAGTGGTAGAAATATAAGTTGTGGCATCTCATTTTTTATTATTCCACACAAACATTCAGTCAAGAAGCCAGAAGCAACAACAATTATATCAAAACCAGTTAAGTATATTGTCAATATTAAACTTTGACATTCAAAATTTAGTCCAGAAAGAGTGACATAGAAATGCACAACGGATGCTACCAGCTAATACAATGTGATTCTCACCTCATAGAATCTGGTGGCTACAATGTTTAAACTAAAGCCCAAGCACTCTCGTACATCTCTATTGCAGCATCATCTACAATCTCTACTCTACAACTACCTTACGCTCAGTGGCGGATCCAGAATTTTAAAGTTGTGGGTGCTCGCCGATTAAAATTCTAAAAGAAGTGAAAAAAAGAGTTTAGTTGTGGGTGCTCACTCAATTTTTATCTAAATATTTTTATAGTTGCCTATGCAAATTTACTAAATATGGTCAAAGTTAATGGGTGCTTTAGCACCCACAAATGCCTAAGTAGATCCACCACTGCTTACGCTTTTAATCCAATTCTACTTCTGAAAGAATTGAAAAATCAATTTAGTTCGGATCAGAGTGGACTTCTATATCATATACCAAAGACATTAACATTTAATCCTTCTTAATTATAAATCCAAGAAAAAAGGAAATAAAAGTACTACTCATCGAGAAAAAATCCATCTAAATCATAACGTTTTGAAAAGAGAAAAAAAGAAGGTATACCAACTGACAGAAAAGTATCTAATAATGCAGATACCCCTTTCATTACGCATTTGTCACGCCGTAAGAGCTGCCGCCGATTGATGACGCCACATGGTACATGAAGCCGTCCAAAGAATAAGAAAAAGAATAGATACACCCATTAATATTTTACTGAAAAGTTCGAGAAGTTTGCGATATTTCAAAAGCAATAAACACTCCAAAAAAAAAACCATAAGTATCCGTTGAAAAATATCAGAAATCCTTTTTATTTCAAAAGCGTCAAAGACCCGTAAGGAGGTAACAATTAGGGAAAAAATAAAAAGAAGAAAAGCATAAGGTCTTAACATCTTTACTATTTATATCAGCTTATATTTGGTTCTATTTTCCAGAATTCCAGCACTTGCGAATCCAGAAAATCATCTTCCAAAACCATAATAAAAAGACCACCATTTTTTACATTGAAGAGCTTCAAGTTTTACCCCCAAATAGTCAAATCAAATAGGAAATAAGGCTACCTATCTATAGCATCAATCCATTCCTTAACTGAATTTGAAGAGACATTTTAAAATTCAGAAAGAAGTCTAAGGCAAATGAAATTACTACTATGATATGTTTCTTTAGAGTTATCTACTCCCCTCCATTTTATACATAACAAACCTTTCTCCTTTTATTTCTTCTCTGTATTTTTTAATTCAAAGTTCCCATCTTTCATTCCCTATATAGACAAAAAAATGTCGAACGGAGACCATATATGGAAAGACAAAATGACAAAAGATCAAGGAAGAAAGATAGAAGAATAATAACCACATCAACCATGAATTTAAGTAATAAAACTGGGAAATTCGAAGAGAACCGAAAGAAGATTGGCAAACAATTGGGAGGAAAACTGACCTGAAATTGCAGCACCCATGTGAGAAAATGAATAGAACTCAAAGAGAAGTCTTTGGAAGACTGAAGAAGGGCAATGATGTTTCTTGAAATTCTAATTGGGTTTGTTGTTTGAAATAAGACAACATTGAGTGAGAACACGTGACAGAGTTAAATGTGCACATTTATGATTGAATAGAAAATTTACAAAAATGCCCTTGGTCGAACAACTTCTCTTTTCTATATAATAGAACGAAAATTTGGGGTGAATTCTGAGTATCCATATGGTTTTTTTTGTTCAAGCGCTTCTATTAAATTTTCTTCTCAAGTGCACAAATTGCAACACGCTACACACATTGAATTATCATCTGGACGAAAAAGGCTAAAAAAGGAAGATCTTTAATACAGTTAAGGTATTTAACGATATGCCTGAAACAACTGAATAATTTCCTATTCTATTTCTTTTCCAGTAGGTATTCATAAGTAGATTTCCTTAATCATAACACAAATATAGGACTCTTAACAGATATTTTGGCAACTACATGTATGACAATGAAAAATGCAGTGTATCCTTTACTGGGGATGTTTTCAAATATTTGAACATAAAAATATAGCTTTTTCAAAAAAAGAAATGAATACAAATAATTCTGTGTCTGGAGATGTATTTAATTTAATTAATTAAGTGAGTAGGAACTTCAAATATTTTCTAATCTTTCGGTCTACAAAGTAGTCTTTTGAGAAATACGTCAAGTAGAACCCTGAGAAAATTTGCAGTTTCTTACAAATTTATCACATGAATTCAAGTCAATTAACTGGTCAAAGAACCTCAAAACAAGTTTTTTTTTTCTACTAGTTGAATTTTGATACTTTTGAATTGACATCCCAGTAGATCTCGCAATCAAAAGACATTTCTGCTTTTGGCCTGACATGAGAATTCAAAGATTCAGTTTCAAGCAACATATGTATCTTGATTTTTCTACATCTTATTTTTAATTGTGTTGGACGTTTAAATATAGTGACATAGACGACAATGAACATTTATATAATCGACTTCAACTTACTTCGGATTGAGGTGTAATTAGGGCTGCATTTTGTACTCTGTGTGTTGTTTGGGGGCTGAGGTGGCGTTGGTAGCAAGCAAATGCAGCTCTTAGGCAACAAGTTCATCCGAATCTAATATTTTCATTAATATTTTTAATTAACTATATTGATTGACAGTGCATATGTAGAATTTTTCACTATTTGATGTTGTTTAACCCGCAAGGCTAGTAGACATTGGACAAGGGAACGTTACTTATACGACAGGTTAAACTTTTGGCCCATTCCCCCTCCCCCCCTCCAAAATTGTTCAAGTTGAATGTGGTTGACTCATGTTTCCTTTTGAGTCATTAGATTGATTTTTGTTCTTTTTGTTTACATTCATTTTTCAAAATCTTTTCCTTTTTGTTTTCTTTGGAAAACGTAATCTATTCTCAAATTCATTTGTCCCAAAAAGAGAAAAATGAATACTGTATTTATGCATGAGAAAAGAAAAAACAAATCGTATTCATGTAATCAAGTGTGTTACATCTCGTCAGAATAGATATACTCTAGAAAAGTATACAAATCTTGTTCAACACCATACACATGTGATTTTTTTGGTTCTCATCCGATATCCGGTAATACATTGGTGGTTTGATTACGTCACGATCCAGAAATTCTACCCTTGGGACCATGATGGCGCATAACATTTCACTTGCTAGGCAAGCCAACATTAGAATAGTCTATCCATTTTTAACAATTCAAATTAAATAATAATAAAGAAACCGAAAAATGCTGCAATAAATTCTGAAGTAAAGTGCAGAAAATCATAACAATTGAAATATCCAATACAGCCCCGAATCTGGTGTCACGAGTGCACGAGCTATTAGACGTTCTACAAATAGAGTCTGAAATAAATACAACTATTTCGAATGAAATGAACAGTAAAAGAGGAAAGAGGAAGGGGACTTCAAGGTCTGCGGACATCAACATATCTACCTCAAGTCTCCGAATGATAATCCGAGCAAGTGCACCTCACGTACAGCTGGGACCAATACCAAAATATGCACAAGAAGTGCATAGTATAGTATGAGTACAATCGGCCCAATGTACTCCATAAATGTCGAGCCTAACCTCGACAAGGTAGTGACGAGGCTATGACAGGACACTCACGTAATTAAACCTGTGCATACAAAGATATATGTACCTAACAACAACAAAATAGAGATTTAATATGTACAGTTGGGAGGAAACATGCGAATGGGGAAAAGATACGAAAACTACAACAGGAAAAACAACACAGACAGTCAAATAAACATCAACCAGAGAGGACAAGTAACATACGATATGAAAATGGCACATCATGACCCCTCGTGCTTTTACTCTCATCCTTACCATGAAATGATGTCATAAGAGAAATGAAATGGCACGGCATCACCTTTCGTGCTTTTACTCTTAATCTCACCATGTAACCGTGAATAACTAATATAGATTGGCACGACATCACCCTTCGCGCTTTAACTCTCTTCCTCACCATGTATTAATCAGTAATTAAGGTAATGAAATGGTACAACATCACCTTTCGTAATTTAACATTCTCTCTTACCATATCGTAATGAATACATAAATTCGGGAGATAAATAATGCAATGGATGTACTTTACGTCAATAATGATTGCAAACCAAACTTCAGCTTCCAAAATACTCAACCATCACAATTAATCCATAAATACAGAAGGAACGATCAAATGAGTAATAATCTAATCTAAGCATCAATGCCATAATTAAAGAGGCAATAAATCACAAGGAAACAAGTTCTATCCCCATGCTTTAACCTAACAACAATACATAAGTACTCGTCACCTCAGATATATGTTGTACCCACACATTAAACACGTAACAAATAGGCAAACAAGTCTTAATCCCACAAGAAAAGGTTAACCGCGACACTTACCTCGCTACACAACAAATTCAAAGTTCAACAACGACCTTGCTTTTCGAACAAGCCTCCGAACCAACCAAATCTAGCAAATTATCAACCAAATGATTCAAAATAAGCCTGAGAAACTACCCACGAATGAAAGAAGTTCAATTTAGATCATTATTGAAAAAGTAAACCCCCGGGCTCGCTTGGTCAAAACCTGAGGTTCGGACAAAAACCCAATCACCCATTCACCCCCGAGCCCAGTTATGTAATTCAATTTGAAATCTGACATCAATTCGAGGTCTAAATTTACAAAAATTCCTAATTCTAAACAAATTCCTAATTTCTACCATGGAAATTCTAGATTTAAGGTTAAAATCTTATGGAATATAATGGGTAATTGAAAGAAAGTAGATTAGAGTCACTTGCCAATGAATTGAGGAAGAAAAGCTCTTGGAAGAATCGCCTCTAGGGTGTTTATGATTGAGAATTTAAGAGAATGAACTAAAATCCCATTTTTCTCAACTTTTGTCTAGGTGCAGATGCCGTAATTGCGACTTGGGGTTCGCAAATTGCGAATCCCACAAATGCGAGAATAGCTTCGAAAATGCGAAGAAACCCATATCTCTGTTATCATCGCATTTGCTATGACTTGTTCGCAAATGCGAACTCTGGGACTCCGCAAATGTGACCTATTGATCGCAAATGTGATCTTTTGTTGACCCAGCTCTCCCCCCTTCGCAAATGCGAAGAAATGGGTCGCAAATGCGAACCTGACAGGAATTTGAATGTTCGCAAATGCGAACAATGACCTCGCAATTGCAAGATCAGAGACTTGCTCCAGAACCAGATGCACCAGCTATTTTTCCTAAGTCCAAAACCATTCCGAAGCCTATCCGAAACTCACCCAAGCCCTCGGGGCTCCAAATCAAACATGTACACAAGTCCCAAAACATCATACGAACTCGCTTATGCGATCATAACACCAAAATAATACCTAGAACTACGAATCAGACACCAGAACGAATGAAATTTTCAATTAAACTTACGAACTTTCAATATTCAATCGGATGTCCGAATTACGTCAAATCAACTCCGTTTTGCACCAAAATTTGCAGACAACTCATAAATACAGTAATGAACCTATACTATGTTCCGGAACCAAAATCTGGATCCGGTAGCAATAAAGTCAAACTTTGGTCAAACTTATTAATTCTTTAAACCTTTAAGCCTCTAGTTTTCAATAAATTGCGATAATTCGAGCTAGGGACTTACGAATTCGATTCAGGACATATGCCCAACTCCCAAATCGCGATAATGAGTTTTAAGGCACGATTTCGCATTTTTATCAATTTTCACGTAAAAACCTTTCGGAAAAAGATTTAGACTGCGCACGCAAATCGAGAAAGACTAAATGGAACTAATCGAGGTTTCGAAACACATAATTTAGGGTTAAAACTATGAATGACCTATCGGGTCATCACAGATTATGTCCGAATTCATGCTGAAAAGTTCTACATTGAGGGTAAAGCGTTCCCTAGCAAAGACGACTTCATACCGAGGACCAGAAGCATCTTATACCTATTAAGGCATGTGCTTTTGGCCCCCAAATTGGGGGTCATACTCTTTTCTAAAAATAATAGGTTTGTGGGTTATTAATTATTTTCAGTCTTCCATTAGTCTTCTAAGAGACGTGTAAGAAATATGGTTTACTGACACCAATTCTGGGCCAAAAGACCAGCAACCTTTACAAATTTTCGACTTATATTGAACTTCATTTTTTCTTTAGTTGTATTTATATACACGAATAATGTTTAAAAAAAATTACATTATCAGGTCACATAAATTTTTTCTTTATTTCCTGAGAAAGGTACGACGGATGAAGAAGCAAGAGAAGGAGAAGGTTTAGACGATATCTGAACCATGCATTACTTGAGTTCAAAAGTTAAATTGCAATTATTATAATGTAACTCTAATATTTCAGATGGATATAAAATTTTAAGAGTCATTCTTTTTCTAAGACTTTGCGCTTTTAGGTGGCACCTTCCTTTTATATAATCCCAGCAAAAAGAGCACATAACAGGGGGGACATTCCACCTGATCTCTGTTCATTACATCCAAAAGACCATTGTTACAACTGATAATAGAACAAATACAAAGATAAAGTAGCTTTCTTACCAATATACAAAAAGCAGATATCAAATGCATGTAAAACAGTCTATCTATGTA